GTAAGCCCCGGGGCGTGGCCGCACCCAGGCCGGACACGGGCGCCAGGCGTCTAGATGATTCGTATTAACCATACTGGACTGTACGCATCACATGATCATCACTGGAATGCCAAGTTAACTGCGCCATCTGTTGACAAAAGGTGGAGATAGCGGCAAGACTCAAATATGTTTCTGTAGTGTTGCCTAGCGACAGGAATCAAAACTAGCCCGGTTGCCACGGATACTGGACGTTTTTAACACTGCACTTTACGACTCTGGACTTAACGACTCTGGACTTTGCGTCCCTGGGCCTTTTGAACGCCCCCAATGGGCACGAAATTGGATGTTTTCTGGACGTTTTGAACACTATGCTGCGATCCTAGGCTATATAAACACTGCACGGTACGATCCTGGACTTTTTGATGGCTCCCCGTCTGGCCTTAGGTATGAATTGGCCTAACGGACACCTAGTTAGCCACCATGCAAGGTGCACGATTTAATCTGTTTTTGTGTGTAGGCAGGGGCGCAGCCAGAGCCTTGTCAAGGGGGAACATATGGTTGGCAAAAGCCCATCTTATGGTGACACTTCCCCCAAATTCCCCGGATATGGCTTACTTGTTAACAAGTGATACGGTTTTATTTGTTTTATTGCTATTTTTACCTTGTAACCAGAACAGAAACCAGGAACTACCGTGAGATCAAATCTGTCTGTATTTTGAGGTCAATAAATAAACTGCAGAAATCAGGCGTTGAACGACGGCATGGAAGAAATCACCGGCGCTCTTAATGTACATGGTTAGTTGGCTCTTTCTAAACCGATATAATTCAGAGGCTTTTTCGCTTTTTATATTGGTTCTATAGACATTGAGGGCATTGCGAAGGTAGATTGTAGATCGATATGTTTGATCCAAATCTGAAGATGAAAATTTGATTGCAGATCGAGTAGACAACAATATATATTACATGGCCAAGCCATGTTTGTCCGAAAATATTAGCCATTCAGTCAGTATCGATTAGTGATATAATTTATGTGACGTGTTTTTAACATGCGCGCTCGCAAATCTTAGCAACAAAAACCTCGACACCAGGCGTTGCAGTCTCCATAGTCCGTGGAGCGTTAGCCCAGTAGCTGAAATTTAGTCGTGGCCCGCCGGTGGATCAAAATGATGACGATTCTGAAATGATCATTTTTAAACACTTTAACCGGCTAGTAACATACGTTAGGCGACGTAATTTTGAGTATGCGCACTCGAAAATTTTAGAAACACCAGCCTCAACCCCAGGCGTTGCAGTCTCCGTGCGCCGGGCAGCGTCGGCCTAGCAGCTAATATTAAGTTGTGGCCAACGGGTGTACGAAAATGACGACGTTTCTGAAAAAGTATCCCTGGACGTTTTATGGCATCAGATCTTTCCTTTGGAAGGCAGTCTGAGCGCATACATCACGTGTGCAACTTTTAGACTGATGAAAGGAACGGATTGGCCCTTAAACCACCCCAAAGTGGGGCTAGAATCTGTTGGTTGAACTGGAAGGGTGAAGGTTTAAGTATATCTTTTTCGTGTTTCCACAGCTATTTATCTGTCCAGAAGACAGATGAACACGGCGCCCGCCATCTGGTGGCCCTTGCAATGGCCGAAACTCTATCGTTTTACGGAAAGTTGCAGCCCAGACCAATCCTTGTCTTGCTCTTGAAGTCGCGGGCGAGCATGTTCAAGCCTTTTGATGGTTAAGTTGTTTTTAATAACGCTGCTAAAAAATAAACGTTTCTCAGGCAAATATGACATGACCTTTCTGGTTTTATTCATTCATTTCGACCCGCGCTAGTCAACAATAATGGGAGCCCCACTCTACTCAGCAAGAATGAGACCCCTTATTTCCTTCCGGGTAAGGGACCTCTTGAGTAGAACACCAGGGGCACACTACCGTTTCCGATCAAGGGCTGAAGGGCCATTTCGCCCCATCGTGAAGCGTCTTATGGCTATCATTCTGGTGGCACGGAGCGGGATCTCCTGGTCGATCCGGAGGCCATTAAAAGGATATATCATATCACATTGTCCCCACCGCCGACACAGGAGGCGTTTTGACACGCGCGGTTAGCCCTGGATCAGCATAGGAACCCTCATTGACGTAACAACATCCCTGACTACCGTAGGTAGTCCGATAGTTGTCACATAGATTCCGGTTCCGTGTTTTGCTGTGTTCCTCAGGGTTATTTAGTTCTCGCTGACTGTAGATTGCAGATGAAATAGGGTTCCCAATTCATATTAACATGACTTACCCATGCTCGTCTTAAAATGCTCAAGATCCTGTCGGGGCTTATTATTGATAGGAAAACTACGTAACATGGTGTTAAACATGCGTGCTCGCAAGTGATAGCAGCAACAGCCTCGGCGCCCGGCGTTGCAGTCTCCACGCTGTGCGGCGCCGGCCTTGCGGCTGTTATATTAGGCAATGGCCAATGAGCAAATGAAAACGATAACGCATCTTAAATGAGATGCCTGGTGAAGTAGGTAAATCGGCATGCATGTTTAACGTAGTGCAAAAGTAAGCCAGATGCAACCTTAACACGCGCTCGGGTGGCCGGCTAGTTACCGTTCGCTCGGGTGGGGGGTCAATTTGACTCCCCCCTGAGGTCTCGGCAATTAAGGAAGCTAGAGCCAACAAATTTATGGCATGTATTGACCTGTACGTGAACACGCTTAAGTCAAATTTTGTATCTTCTTAGGCCATGACCTTCAGGTCAAATAAGATCCAACAAGGTAAAATTATTCCAGGCTGGTCTCCAAAGTGCCTCCCCCAGAGCCTAGGCAACTGTTTCTAAGCAAAAGATTACAAGCCCACTTGAGGTCAGTGACACTGTTTGACCTTTTCAAGGTCATGGTGACCAAAATCGTACAAGACTGCTCTGAGTTTTGCATTTGAATAAGCGATAAAGATTACGTTAGGCAGTATGTTTCTAAAACAAGATGTCGACTCGGGTCATCTTAGGTCAATGACCTGTTCTTACCTAGAGAAGTCAATAAATATGTATAATGTGGTTCATGTTGTCAATAAATTAGAAATGAGCACCAGAAACTATCCAATACAGCAAGCCCTAAGATAATAAATCAGGTTGGTTTGACCTTGGTCTGACCGTCATACCTGACGTCAAGTCAACGTAATTTGCTCATTCAATATTTGTGGTGCCTAAGAAAGCATCTCAGAGATGTGTGGCTTCGTCAAACACTCCGTTGTTGTATCAGATTGAACGATGCCCTAGAAATTGCTTTAGCTGAAACCATGGCCTGACTTTGACCTGCCATAGGTCAGCGACCTTATGAGATATATTTAAATTCGTCATGTCAAACGATCCGCTGTTCAATTGTCTACAGCTATGCAAAACTTGGCACGACCACACCGCGCCATTCGGAAACCATCCTGGAAAAATCTTCGGGGGGTCAATTTGACCCCCATCCGAGCGCGTGTTAATCTGAAAAGTGTGGGGGGGGGTCAGTTAACATTGCTGGCCCCCCATCTTGAAAAGTGGGGGTCATGGCCCCCTGGCCCCCCTGTTCCTACGCCCATGGGATGAATGGTGTGAGGAAGCTGGATAGTCTTATCCTAAACATGTCATAGATGAGCCGCTCAGGCAAGCTTTGCACCAGTGAGACACAGCTGTAGATGCACATCTACCATAGCGGCCGTGGTATTTAGTTAGTCCCAAAATGTGTCATGTGAAGAAAGAGCGGACAATGTCCTCCATCTCCA